TGGGGGATTAGCTCAAATGGTAGAGTGCTCGCTTAGCATGTGAGAGGTACCGGGATCGATACCCGGATCTTCCAAATGTAATTTTTTATTTTCGAACGAAGTGTTCTCATTATCTGAAAATATGATTGTCTTTATAAGTACGTATTAAAGGCGTCTTACAGTATGGGGGATTAGCTCAAATGGTAGAGCGCTCGCTTTGCATGTGAGAGGTACCGGGATCGATACCCGGATCTTCCAAAAGTAAGTTTTTATTTTCGAACGAGGGTTCTCATTATCTGAAAACATGATTGTCTTAAGTACGTATTAAAGGCAATTTGCAGTATGGGGGATTAGCTCAAATGGTAGAGCGCTCGCTTAGCATGTGAGAGGTACCGGGATCGATACCCGGATCTTCCAAAAGTAATTTTTTATTTTCGAACGAAGTGTTCTCATTATCTGAAAACATGATTGTCTTAAGTACGTATTAAAGGCGTCTTACAGTATGGGGGATTAGCTCAAATGGTAGAGCGCTCGCTTTGCATGTGAGAGGTACCGGGATCGATACCCGGATCTTCCAAAAGTAAGTTTTTATTTTCGAACGAGGTGTTCTCATTATCTGAAAACATGATTGTCTGAAGTACGTATTAAAGGCGTCTTGCAGTATGGGGGATTAGCTCAAATGGTAGAGCGCTCGCTTAGCATGTGAGAGGTACCGGGATCGATACCCGGATCTTCCAAATGTAATTTTTTATTTTCGAACGAAGTGTTCTCATTATCTGAAAATATGATTGTCTTAAGTACGTATTAAAGGCGTCTTACAGTATGGGGGATTAGCTCAAATGGTAGAGCGCTCGCTTTGCATGTGAGAGGTACCGGGATCGATACCCGGATCTTCCAAAAGTAAGTTTTTATTTTCGAACGAGGTGTTCTCATTATCTGAAAACATGATTGTCTTAAGTACGTATTAAAGGCAATTTGCAGTATGGGGGATTAGCTCAAATGGTAGAGCGCTCGCTTAGCATGTGAGAGGTACCGGGATCGATACCCGGATCTTCCAAATGTAATTTTTTATTTTCGAACGAAGTGTTCTCATTATCTGAAAATATGATTGTCTTAAGTACGTATTAAAGGCGTCTTACAGTATGGGGGATTAGCTCAAATGGTAGAGCGCTCGCTTTGCATGTGATAGGTACCGGGATCGATACCCGGATCTTCCAAATGTAATTTTTTATTTTCGAACGAAGTGTTCTCATTATCTGAAAACATGATTGTCTGAAGTACGTATTAAAGGCGTCTTGCAGTATGGGGGATTAGCTCAAATGGTAGAGCGCTCGCTTAGCATGTGAGAGGTACCGGGATCGATACCCGGATCTTCCAAATGTAATTTTTTATTTTCGAACGAAGTGTTCTCATTATCTGAAAATATGATTGTCTTAAGTACGTATTAAAGGCGTCTTGCAGTATGGGGGATTAGCTCAAATGGTAGAGTGCTCGCTTAGCATGTGAGAGGTACCGGGATCGATACCCGGATCTTCCAAATGTAATTTTTTATTTTCGAACGAAGTGTTCTCATTATCTGAAAACATGATTGTCTGAAGTACGTATTAAAGGCGTCTTGCAGTATGGGGGATTAGCTCAAATGGTAGAGCGCTCGCTTAGCATGTGAGAGGTACCGGGATCGATACCCGGATCTTCCAAATGTAATTTTTTATTTTCGAACGAAGTGTTCTCATTATCTGAAAATATGATTGTCTTAAGTACGTATTAAAGGCGTCTTGCAGTATGGGGGATTAGCTCAAATGGTAGAGTGCTCGCTTAGCATGTGAGAGGTACCTGGATCGATACCCGGATCTTCCAAATGTAATTTTTTATTTTCGAACGAAGTGTTCTCATTATCTGAAAATATGATTGTCTTTATAAGTACGTATTAAAGGCGTCTTACAGTATGGGGGATTAGCTCAAATGGTAGAGCGCTCGCTTTGCATGTGAGAGGTACCGGGATCGATACCCGGATCTTCCAAAAGTAAGTTTTTATTTTCGAACGAGGGTTCTCATTATCTGAAAACATGATTGTCTTAAGTACGTATTAAAGGCAATTTGCAGTATGGGGGATTAGCTCAAATGGTAGAGCGCTCGCTTAGCATGTGAGAGGTACCGGGATCGATACCCGGATCTTCCAAAAGTAATTTTTTATTTTCGAACGAAGTGTTCTCATTATCTGAAAACATGATTGTCTTAAGTACGTATTAAAGGCGTCTTACAGTATGGGGGATTAGCTCAAATGGTAGAGCGCTCGCTTTGCATGTGAGAGGTACCGGGATCGATACCCGGATCTTCCAAAAGTAAGTTTTTATTTTCGAACGAGGTGTTCTCATTATCTGAAAACATGATTGTCTGAAGTACGTATTAAAGGCGTCTTGCAGTATGTGGGATTAGCTCAAATGGTAGAGCGCTCGCTTAGCATGTGAGAGGTACCGGGATCGATACCCGGATCTTCCAAATGTAATTTTTTATTTTCGAACGAAGTGTTCTCATTATCTGAAAACATGATTGTCTGAAGTACGTATTAAAGGCGTCTTGCAGTATGGGGGATTAGCTCAAATGGTAGAGCGCTCGCTTAGCATGTGAGAGGTACCGGGATCGATACCCGGATCTTCCAAATGTAATTTTTTATTTTCGAACGAAGTGTTCTCATTATCTGAAAATATGATTGTCTGAAGTACGTATTAAAGGCGTCTTGCAGTATGGGGGATTAGCTCAAATGGTAGAGTGCTCGCTTAGCATGTGAGAGGTACCGGGATCGATACCCGGATCTTCCAAATGTAATTTTTTATTTTCGAACGAAGTGTTCTCATTATCTGAAAATATGATTGTCTTTATAAGTACGTATTAAAGGCGTCTTACAGTATGTGGGATTAGCTCAAATGGTAGAGCGCTCGCTTTGCATGTGAGAGGTACCGGGATCGATACCCGGATCTTCCAAAAGTAAGTTTTTATTTTCGAACGAGGTGTTCTCATTATCTGAAAACATGATTGTCTTAAGTACGTATTAAAGGCAATTTGCAGTATGGGGGATTAGCTCAAATGTAGAGCGCTCGCTTAGCATGTGAGAGGTACCGGGATCGATACCCGGATCTTCCAAAAGTAATTTTTTATTTTCGAACGAAGTGTTCTCATTATCTGAAAACATGATTGTCTTAAGTACGTATTAAAGGCGTCTTGCAGTATGGGGGATTAGCTCAAATGGTAGAGCGCTCGCTTTGCATGTGAGAGGTTCCGGGATCGATACCCGGATCTTCCAAAAGTATTTTTGTTGTTTTTGATCGAAGTGTTCTCAATACCTACTTTATTTGAAAACATAATTGTACATTTAAGTACATTTTACAGCTGGATTGCATTATGGGGAAGAGCTCAAAATGCCAAAGCGCTCGCTTTGCAGTGCCAGAGGTACCGGGATCAAAAGCTGGATATTCCATATTTTTTTTCTACCTTGATTAGATATGATGTTTATACTTCTTGACAAAAGATCATCCGCAGTCAATAGTTTATCTAGCAGGGGTGCAGAAAAAAACCCAATAATTATGTTCCCCGGACGCAACACCTGGATACACGAACTATTCAGGGATCTTCTTCTGTTCATCAGAATGTGCTGAATGGCTTGTACTGGATCAAATTTGATTATCCTCTGAACAAGTTTCACCAAACATTGAAAGCAGGGTAAATTATTCGAATGGCCGTAGAGAAAATGGAATAGGGAAATGACCAAATCCTCGAAACTCTTTACTTAAAACAAATCCATGCACATGCACGTATTAAAGCTGTCACAACAGGATCTATTTACAGGCATAAAGGATCATTTTGAACTGCATTCATTTTGCTCGTTTCTAATTAAATACCACTCAAAATCTAAAGAAGAATGTTTCCAACCTTAAACCTGTTGAAGTTTCAGTTCGGTGGATTGTTCACTTTTCGAGAAAGCAGTGAAAAACCATGCACAACCTTTTGATCACGAAACGAGATTTTGTATATACTGTACTCCTTTATTTCCAAAAATCAGTTAATTGACTGATCGTTGGAAATCACCTACATTTCTTGATTTCTTCTAAAATCACTGAAAGCCATACGGAATGATTTCACGGGCTGTTTGCTACCAGTACAATCTTTAATCTTAGTGAGCTTTTTTTGATGGTAATTCGGTTGGGTACTTGTGGGATAAATGCAAATGATCCTTTGTGCATTTAAGGAGAATAAAGGTTGTGACAGAGTTGATTCAGTATAGGCACCTCATGATATTGTAAAGTAAAGGAGAAAAAAAAAAAAGGTACACACCATGTACTCAGAACACGCCACATTATTCTCCAAACACCCACAATTAATGTTGCCCGCTTAATTAGTTATTAGTACAGGTTTTCCCGGCTAATTTCCTGAAATGTTCATTCACTTCTGAAAATCGGTAATTCATTTTCGTCTGAATATGAATGCAAGTCTTTAATCTCTTTCCAATTCAACGAAAATTCAATCGTTTTCATTGTCCATTCGGTTTTGAGAAACAGACGGCCTATTACGTTACCTGTGCATTCATTTACGCAATCATACCTTTTCTAAATTGATTTCAGGTACAGCTAATTCGATTGACGGTTGATAAAAAAGAAACCCCTAATTGTATCTATTGCAGATGACACTAAACTAAAAGTGAAATAGAATGGTGAATGTTTGAAATCGCCTTCTAAAAGCGAAAAAGAAGTCTTGTAAACGAATCTGAATGAGCATAAACGAAAGGTGCTGCTCAATCACTTAATTGATTGAACTGAAATGGAATCGAATGCTCTGGTAGCGAAAATGAAGCGCGTGTTCAGAGAGATTCTCAAATTCAAACGAAAATGAATGACCATTTTTCAGAAGTGATTGAACATTTTAGGAAATTGGCCGGGAAAACCTATATTACCGAAAAGAGGAAAACAAGCAACAGAGTCACGCAGATGTTTTGGTTAAACTTTCTGTTGATCACTTGCAATCCTCAGGTTGCGAAGGTTCCGACTCGGCTTACAGTCTGTACGAAGACATGATGAAGGACTACAACCCGATGATTATTCCCGTCGAGAACAGTTCCAGCGTCATGAACGTCTACGTCGGCCTGACCTTGTCTCAGATTGTCGACATCGTAAGTTGTCAGTTTAAAAAAGAAACTCACCTTAGATGGCTATGAAAGACAGGATCATATTTTGCACGCATGAGGGCGCTTTTACGACGCAGTTTGGGGGTACAAACACACGTGATAATCGATTTATTAACGTTAGTTAAAAAATAGAATTTTTTTTTTTACAATCTGCAATCTCAACATTGAAAGTAAAGTTGCTAATTTGCTTTTTTAATGTAATCTATTTGTAAAGCGCCGTCGCCAGCTCCGGGAATGGGGGGGGGGGGGGGGACGCAACAAGAAAAAACACAAATTTAGTTATTTTCTACGTTTATGGTTTTTGCCGATGGGAGGAGGGGGGGGGGGGCGTGGGGTGGGGAGTTGCTCGCCGGGGAGGGGCGGTCCCCTGCCCCCCCTCCCACTTAGCAACGGGCCTGCTATTTGAACCCAGTATACATGTCATTGTTAGAGCGCCCTCATTATGACCTATAAGCCAAATCGAAATTTCGCGTGAGCAATGAATTGTACGGGACAGGATTTCGGATAAGCAAACCCACGTGATGCTGAAAGCTAGACCCTCTATTAATTGGACTAGAATTTAATGACATGTTTTGTTTACCCAAATAAATGCACAGTTGAGACGAGTTGGCACATTCGCGAGCGAAAGTTCGATTTGGTTTAATGTAGTATACTCTAAGTTAAACAGTACACACCATATTGTGTGTTTGATCGAGTTGATGCCCTATTTAGTCATACCCCTCCAATTGTCTTCTCTCGAAAAAATTAGAACTGAAGTTGCTGTCTCATCAAATTTTAGCTCAAATTGAAATTGTCTTCATCCTCTCTAGAATTATATGTTTCCCCGCAGTATCGAAGCCGTCCATTTCAGTTCATCGTAAATCTTTTTTGTTTAAACATACATTCTTTAGATTTTCTGGATGGCAAACGTCAGACAAAGACATGCACTCATGCTCACACAGTTCTTCTTATCAAGTTAATTTTGTTTTTGTTTTTATTCATCAGGATGAGCAGAATCAGATTATGATCACCAGTATTTGGCTGAAACAGGTATGTCAAAATAATGATCAGTTAGAAACTCTAAACGTGACTCCCCACAGGATGCTAGCCCGCCCTCTGTTTTTGTTGTTTTGTACATCGCATGATCATGATCAGCCTTTGCATCTGCTTCTTTTTTTCGGCAGAAATGGAAGGATTACAGGTTTGTCTGGAACCCAGACGACTACGAGGGTCTACAGCAGATGGAGGTTCCTATCGATCAGCTTTGGAAGCCGGACGTCGTTCTTTATAACACGTAAGTCATGGTGTCTAGACTGTCGTTTGCCGTGCGTGGTCATAATGGAGGAACCATACTGAAGAACAATCCTAAGAAATCACTGCGCTGTATTTGACACACGTTCTCTTTTAAATTATATCCCACCAAGTCCTGCTTTACATTATGGTTTTATGCATGTCTTACAAAAGAAACAAATTGTAAAATTCAGGGATAGTTAAACCTCCTCAAACCTTTTCTTTTTGGTCGACTCGAAGTCTAAGTATCAGGTTGACATGGGTAAGACTCCCGTGAGCAAGATATATTTTGCCAAACTATAACTGCTATGTAATGACTTGTGAGTAGAATCACCTGTTTTTCGTTCCACTCTGCCTTCCTATAAAGGGCCGACGGAAACTACGCAGTAGAGGTTGTGAACAGAGCCACGGTAAAACACGACGGTACGGTCTACTGGAATCCTCCCGTCATCTTCAGGAGTTCCTGCCTCATCGACATCTCCTACTTCCCCTTCGACGAGCAGCGCTGCACGATGAAGTTCGGCTCCTGGACCTACGACGCCTCCCAGCTTGACATCAAGCCGCTCAGCCGACGGGTTGAGCGGGAGAACTACCGTGCTAACGGGGAGTGGGAGATCGTAGAATCACTCATCGAGAAGCACGCCATCAGGTACGCGTGCTGTGAAGACGTCTACTTGGATCTGACCTACACCTTCGTGCTGCATCGCAACCCACTCTTCTACATCATCACCCTGGTACTGCCGTGTATACTGATTGCACTATTGACTGCCCTGATCTTCTACCTCCCCTCGGAAGCTCAGGAGAAGATCACTCTGTGTATTTCAGTGCTCCTGGCTCTGATTGTGTTCCTCCTGTTGATTCCATCCATCATCCCACCCACCGCTACCACGGTGCCTCTCATCGCTCGCTACATGCTCTTCACCATGGCCACTGTGGCCATCTCCATCGTGGCCACAGTCTGGACCATCAACCTCCACTTCCGTAACACCAGCACCCACGTAATGAGCAAGTGGATGCGGCGGATCTTCCTGGAGATCCTACCCAGGCTGCTGCTGATGAAGCGCCCGGGGGAAGACAAGGAACGCGAGGAGAAGGAGAAGCAGAAGCAGATGGAGAAGGCCGTCATCCGGAGCAACGCCTCCTCCTCCTTCATCTGCCTGCCGGGGGATAACGGGAGGAAGGAGCCCAGGGGATACTCCAAGACGGCCGGGGCTTCCACCTCCATGCCGCCGTCTCTGCGCGAGGAGATTGAGCACCGTGAGCGGGGAAGCCCTCTCAAGAGATACGGCGAGTACAAGCCCGTGAAGAAAGAGTGGCAGGAACTTCTAGGTTACCTAAATTACATCCAGCACAACATAGAGGAGACGGACACAGTTGAGGATGTAAGTCTGTGTGATGTAAGATGCACCCATGTTGGTTCATCTTTCATGTATGAACTAACCTAGGGAATGGGTTAGTGTGTTTGCTGTGCGGTAAACAATGATTCAGCCGTGCATTGTTGTGACACATACAGTAGAATAACACGCGCAATAGTATGAGTTTTCCACCGATTACAATCTTTTGTCCTTCCAAACGATCGACTGCAAGGTCGATCCTTCCACGTAAACGCTCATATAAACTAATACATGTACTTAGGTCAAGCTTCGGAATAACTTGGATCGGTGCGTTTCTGAAATCCCAAGACTGAAACCGGTGTATTAATCAGAGTACTTAATATCACCGTCTCCTTTTCTCTTCCCAACAGTCAGAGGACGAGTGGGCCTTCGTAGGCCTGGTCATCGACCGTTTTCTCCTGGTAGTCTTCACCTTCACGGTTGTGATCGGCACCGTCGTCTTCTTCATGGAGTGCCCGATCTTCTGGGAGAACCCTAACACCCATTACAGGGAGGTGTACGAGGAACCAGAGATCCTACTGAGTGCCGGGTACTATGATCTGTACCCGACATTAGCCCCTACTCAACCGAGTGTCTCGGTGGCACGGTAGGGCGGGTTCGCACTACCCAAAGAGAAAAGTATCCTTCGTAAAAGACTCTGTAAAAAAATATGTAATTAGATTGACCTAGCTTGAACTGTTCCTAGAGGGAGCTATAATGTCGAAGCGTTTGCGCACGCACCAAACGAAGGAACTACAACGTGTCAAATATTTCCTACTTTTGATCCTGGATAACTTTTGTTTACCAATGGAATTAATCCAAAATTTCAGATATGCAATCAAGACACCACAAATTTTATGGAACGACTTTCATAAAAATTAGCTTTGTGCAAGAGGGTGAGATTTAAACGCCATACGAAAGAAAATACTCACTTTCAGAATGTCAATGCTGCAGTCGAAAGCCTCTGAAGGAATGCCGGTGTAGCATGAATTTAGGTTTTATGAAATACGGACTCATTGGTGGTATTGCTCATGCATATATAATTAGTAGAGGGACCGGTCACGTGAGAGGGTTTAACCAATAAAAGGGAAAAAGAGTCCGATTTTCATACAAGTCAGATTTTCATGTGACACCGGATCACCCCTGATGTCATTGGCGCAACACACGGTCGGAGGTGTGCCACGACACCAGGGGTGATCCTGCATTCCTTCAAAAGCTTTCTGCCGCTGGAGGACGCCATAGAAGTCGAAAGTGGCAGATTCTGAAAGTGAACATTATTTTCAGTGGCGTTTAAAACTCCCCCTCTTGTACAAAGCTGATGAAACTCGCTTCATAAAATTTGTCGTGCCTTGTTTACATGATCTGATCCATTGGTAAACAGAGAGTTATTTAGGATCAAAAGTAGGACACGTTTTTAACACGTAGTACTTTCCTATTGCGGTTAAGTTCAGTGTTGTATATCCAGAGGGGAAAGAAGGGGGAGGGGAGGGGATGGCAAGGGGGGGGGGTGGCAGGGGAGCGCCACCACCTCATAGCTTTTACACATGTTCATTTTCAAAGTACTCATATTTGAGTACAGTCATAACATGGTGTTTGAAATTAACGTCAGTGACGGGAAAACCCATATTGTAGTTTTACTGCATAATGTATATAGCCGGTCTATGAATTGGAACGTATAGTCGTCTGGTCTTCCTTGTTCGTTTTGTTGCTTCATGCCAAAGTAAATTGGGTGCAAACAGAATTTCGTGGTTTTAAGGTATATGAACAACATCATCGTTATTTTGTAAATATATTGCAATCCACTAGACATGAGAAATGTACTTCAGTTTTGACAACAGTAAAAAAAAATGGAAGACCCCCATGCTTGAGCCAAATGGTTGGCTGAATTCGCCATTATTAAAAAAAAGCTGCATTTGAAAAAAACACAAAAAAACTTGTTGGTTGTTGGCGTCGTTACTATGTAAGTTGATAAGCAATTACGTAAGAATCCATGCAAGTGAAAGCTTACCAGAGCACTTGCTTTAAACCCAACTGTGTAAGGTGGCCCAGGAGAGACCTCTTTGATTTGAATTCAGAAAACAAGTCCAAAATCATCCAAAAATTGTCCGCTGAGAAGTTCTTGTATCTATACATTGCTAATTGTGTATACATAATTTGTTTATGATTTTACTTAAATTATGCTGCCTATTGTTTAACATACTACAGATGTTGTTAAAAAGTAGAGTAGGGCCTACTGATATTTTCAAAGAAAAAAATGTAAATAGTAAAACATGCAAACAAAGTACAAAGCAGAACAAAAGACAGGAATAAACAATCAACTTTTGTGGGTTTCGTGATGAACATTATTTTATTACATTATTTAACACAATTTGTGAGTGACCCTGCTTCATGCATAGAGTATTAACCTGTTATAATTAAACTTTTATCGTCATGCGTTATTTCATTTTAAATTCCTATATTTATTATTTGTTATCTAAACTTAATTCCATTATTTACCATAAACGTTTACAAGAAGGAAGATCATAATTATTTCCAGCTTTGTGCATTTTTTTTTAATAAACTGACTTCGAAAGAAAAACAAAACGGAAGGAAAATGCCTTCAAACTACGTCAACTTTACGCCTGCGCAGTTGTTGACCAGCATTGTTACAAATTGTATTGAGTTATATTTTAAAACAGATCACGTGACATCGTACCGTCAGTTACTTTTTCCAAGTGAACATATTATTGTTATTTTTTCATCGGCAGTTCCCTTTTTTCGTTTGTCTCTCTATTTTATACAAAGAATAAAAAATGAACTGCCAGTGATTGTGCTGCCATACACATCCGGGTGTTTTACTACTGTTTTATACACACTTAGAAGATGGCGGCCGTTCATTTAACTCTCTGGTTATCAATCATTTCAATTCATTATTTATTTCCTTATTGCTTCTAAACACGTTGCTTATTGGCCATCCAGCAGGATGTCCCAGTAAGCCATGCAATCATCAAGTTGATTACAAAACAAAGTATACTTCTCTGTCTTCAAGTTATTCATCTCTCACCATATCATTGTTGATAATGTTAGGGTCGCAGACCCTCAATCTGAATGGCTACTAATTTCATTAAAAATTCGGTCATTCATGTCAATTGATCAGCACACCACCGGTAAACATTAACACAGTAAATTATTCATTCATTATGAAAAAGTCAAAACAATGTGTATTCTTCACAGGAAACGTAAACAAACGTTTTCCAAGCATTAAAATCACTGGCTACATTTTACGTTATTTTTAATCGCTGTGCTACCGAATTCCGGTTCTTAATACTTCGTCATTAAGATTTGTTTACTACTTTCATTTCGCTCAGGTTCCTGTTTATAAATACAAAACTACTGCTTTTTTGTGCCTGACAATACAAAGTTACACACCCTCTGATCCGAAAGTGTTTATCAATAAATCTCACAAAGGTTTCTGATCAAAATTTCCGATTTCATAATTAAGAATTTATAGCCGTCCTGAAAAACTTACCTCCGCGCCAGTGACGCACCCGGAATTTGGCTTGGGGGGGGGGGGGGGCTCATTTTTTTTTCTCAAAAAATGTTGCCCAAATTTTTTGGCTGTAGAAAAAAATTGGATTATTTTTTTTCGGGGGCTGACAATTTTGGCGCCACTTACACCTCTATTATACTACTCGAAAATAGGTCACATAATATCACCAAGGTGAAATCTTGGGACTAAAAAAAAAGATACCCCCCCCCCCCAAAAAAAAAGACGCCACTTACACCTCTATTATACTACTCGAAAATAGGTCACATAATATCACCAAGGTGAAATCTTGGGACTAAAAAAAAAAGATACCCCCCCCCAAAAAAAAAGACATTTATTTTTTTTTTTGGGGGGGGACACAAGCCCCCCGAGCGCCCCCCCCCCCTTGGGTGCGCCACTGCAGTCCCCGCACAAAACAGATACAAATTACGTTGTTCCATATTTGTTTTGAGAGCTGCTAAACGTATTATCTGTATAGGTAGCCGTTACAAATGACAAATGAACTATTCCTTATAGCATGGATAACTTTGTCACATTGTCAAATGCTGCTGCTCTTTCCCGTGCAAATACCTGGGAATGCTTTTAACTTTGTTCTTACTTGAGACAGTTATGACACACAATCCAGTGTTTCTTAGCTACAAATAAGTCCTAATTATTAAAGTTGTAATCAACGACTGTTTTTGATAGGATTAACAAGAAAAAAGAAGGGAAAAAAACAACAAGGGAGTACAGGGGCGGACCCAGGAATTTTTGCAGGCTGGGGGGGGGGGGGTTCATCAGCAAAAAATTGTGAAATGTAGAAAAATGTACACAGGTCTTTTTCTCCGGACACTTGGCCTCCAAAATCCAACATGGGGGGGGGGGGGGCTTGTACCAATGGGGGCGCCGTTAAAATCCGACGATTATTAACAGTAGATTACACAATAGTCTACAAATACCCCCTAACAAAGCTGGCTCTGTACGTATTTTGTGCACAGGCGGACAATATTACCAGAGTATAGTTTTTTTGGGTGTCAGAGCAGGAGGGGGGGGGGGGGGTTCGCATTATTTGTAATGAATTTCTACGAAACAAAAAAATGACAGAGCTGGGGGGGGGTTGACCCCCCCCCCCCGATCCGCGTCTGGAGTATCCCTCATAAGCAACCCTGTCCATTTCATGAGCATTGCTTTACACGTGTTAGAAATAATAAATAAATTGTCCTTTCGTCCATTTTTACCAAAAGCAAGATGATTGGTTGTATTAAATTGCACGAGTGCTACTTGGATCTAGTAGTTTAGGTTTTTTAACACCATCTCATCTGACCAGCTAATTTGCCCCAATCACGGATGCAACACTTCATTCAAACTGCGTGATCGAACTATAACAAGCCGATTCTATAACTTAGTCAAGGAAAACAATGGGACCGATGTCTTCGCAGGAGCATGCGCGTTATACTCCAGATCAACGTCAGCACGTAAACAAACTGTACACGTGCTTACTTTTTTTTCGTGCGACGGGGGCCATCATGGGTCAAATGTCATGTAGCTTCGCAGTAGAAAATAGTGTTAAGCAATTTATGCGGTGAGAACGAGTTTGGCTGGTAGCCTGATTCTCTTAAGCATAATGCGTCCGTACTGAGTAAATGTGCTTGCTGAGCAGCTCCATGGCCCCTCCGTGGCCTCTCATCGCTTCATATCGCAGGTATACAGCTGACTCTTGACGGTGGTCTCGTTGGAGTCCGGCAGCAGATCCTCCAGGTAGGCGCATTTGACCTCGGGTAGGCCCTGCAGCAGCGACTGCTGCTTGAACCGGTTCTCGTTCTCCCAGAGCACCGGCGAGGACAGCATGATGGCCATGGTTCCTATGACGACGGCAAGAAGGTAGATCCACAGGAAGATGCGGTCCACTACCATGGCGACGAACTCCCAGTCGTTCCGAGTCTGTGTATAGATTCGAAGCAAATGTGAAGGTTATTCAGGTTTGGGCAAGGTTTGCCCAAGGGCGGATCCAGAACACAATTTTTTGGGGGCCAAAAAAAATGTTGGTCCCCCCAAAAAGTGGGTCAAAAAAATTACGCCGTGGGGTTCGGGGCCCGCTTTAGGGCCCCGAAAATGTTTTGGATTCTAGATGCTCTGTGGTGCGATCTGAGGCAATTTCTGACCACTTTAACCAATGTTTTTTTGAGGAAAAGATGGTGGTGTACTCATTGCCTGCCTTTATTGCGATTTCACATAAAAAAAAAAAAAATTGGTTTCGTTTTTTTTTGGGGGGGGGGGGGGGGCATGGCCCCCTTTGGCCCCCCTGGATCTGCCCTTGGGTTTGCCAAAAGAGAGGGTTCTCGTGCATTCTTAGTACAGAGGCTATATGTCATCAATATGAATTGCTCATTAGGTTTTTGCTTCTACTTCCTGCTGCTAATTTGTTGGTGTTGCCCATGGTGCCTTACCTTTTTAGCTTTATCCTCTTCCTTCGTTCTCTCCACGATGTAATGAAGATAGTCCAGTCCCTCCTTGAGTCTGGCCGGTATTTTCTCTTTCTTCATCTCAGTCTGTCTGTTGTGGTCTACATTGGTCTCCTTTTCCTCGTCCGAGTCCCTCCACTCCATTTCTTCCTCCAGCGAGCAGTTCAGTGCCATCATCTTAGGTGCGTTGTTGTTGGCCGTCCGCTGCAGCAGGTGGTAGTTGCTGGTGGACCGGCCCACATTGAAGCTCCGCTTCTTGTTGTTGAAGCACGAGGAGCGGTCCGTAGCCGGGGAATCGCTGGAGTTGACGTAGACCTTGCGCTTGGGCTGCGGTGTAGCTGCCGACGCGCTACACAGGTAGTCCTTGTAGTTGGGCGGCCGCTGGATGTGAAGGAAAGGCGGTAGCGTCTCGGTGAAGAGCCGCTTGACCCAGGGAGACATGGTGTGGGTCTCGGACGAGCGATGGAACAGGTTGATGATGATGATGGTGGTGACTATAGACACGCTGACAATCCCCATGGTGAAGAGCAGGTAGCAGCCAATCAGCGGCACGGTGTCAGAGGTGGTGGGGATCATCTCAGCAATCAGCAGCAAGAACACAATGACGGCCAGCAGAATGGAGATACAGAGCGTGGTCCGCTCGCCACAATTGGAAGGCAGGTAGAAGACGAAGATGGTGATCATGGTGATCAGGACACAGGGCACCACAAACGTCACCACGTAGAACAGGGACTTCCGGTGCAGCTTGAAGTGGAAGGTGATGTCCACGTAGGTCTGCTCGCAACACGGGTACTTGATGGTGTGTTTGACCACGGGCGTGTCTACGATCTCCCACTCCGCGTTCTCCCAGTAATCCTGACGGTCCACCGTGCTTCCCAGGGACTCCAGGTCGATCTTGCTCTCGTCGTAGGTCCAGGAACCGAACTTGAGCTTACAGTCCTGCTTGTCAAAGGGGAAGTAATGGACGTCGATGGCGCACGCGCTGTAGAAGACGGCAGGTGGGCTCCAGTTGACCGTGCCGTTGCAGTAAACCAGAGCCTTGGTCACGAGATCGATCTTGTAGCTGTCGTCCACACTGTCAACACACAGACCATACAAAATTACAATCATGTCATTTTCATAATATTAGTTTTTTTGAAATTTCCTTATCTCGTGCTGGCGACAGGGTAGAATGAAAACAAAAATGTTTTCCCACCACACAGCAAAACAAAAACAATCATCAGTGAACAACAAGATTCCATGACAAGCACTATGCAAGAGTGCATGCAACGACTTTGAATGCTTGTGAAAAAAAAAATGAAATGCATTGCCCCAACGGAGCTCACCAAGGACATGGGATAGAGGAAATCATAACAAGGAAAATTTAGTAAAATTAAATGGAAGCTCCCTGCATATGTACACATCATGTCTAAATCGAGACAGCGCCCTCTCCCGATCAAAATAGGGCGTATTAATTTTCACATCCTAAATTGAATTTACTTCGCAGTGGCAAAATTACCAGATGTTGAATCATCTAATTACCTGGTCCATCGCAGGTGAATACTCCTTATTTATAGACACGAAATCATCCATATTTTCACTAATATATGATTCTTTATAGTCTCAAAAATACAGACTGAGTGAAAAAAAACCCCAAAAAACCCCAAATGTCGGTATCATTGTTTTAGTGAAGTTCTGCATGTAGCACTTTCAAAATCTAGAATATGAAAGCCTAATTCATAAGCTTTCTTTTAGTACAAGAATCATTCAAATCACTCATGTGATTTTTTAGTTTAATACGGAATTTTAAACATATCTACCGTTGTAAAGGTCTGTCCGCGGATCACAGACAGGTTATTGACTTTTCAGTAAAACGAAAACAAATCACATAGGGATGTATGTGAATTGTTTTCGTTTCTGAAAGAACGCAAACCTTTTTTGTGATCCGTGGACAGAACTTTAAAACGGTGGTTGCTTTAAAATCTCTGTAACTTAAAAAGTACATAAATGATTTGAATGATTCTTTTACTAAAAAAAAAAGCTTATGAACTGGGCTTTTATATCCTAGATTTTAAAGGTGCTACATGCAGAACTTCACTTAAACAATTGTCCCGACATTTGGATTTCGTTTTTTTTTTTTTTACTCACCCTGTGCAGGGGAAAAAAGGGGAAAATATCACACAACTCACTTGTTGTAGAGAAGCAAGTCTGGGCTCCAGAGCATCATAATAGGTATGTGGATCACAGACACATTCTTGTAGTGGTCTGGATTCCACGTCAGTCGGTAATCGTGCCACCTCTATACGAATAAACACAAAGCTAGTTCGGTTATAGAAACTGTACGGGGAACACCCTGTTTTTCGTTGCTGAAAAACGGTTGCTGAAAAACGGTGCCTGAAAAATGGTATAATGCTATGGTAATGCCCTGGCTAGCGGTCGCAGGCATACCTTAGGGTCCCCCGTCCCCTTGACTAATACAGAAAAAGTAAATTGATGCGCAACTTTAGAAAACTACTGTGCCACGTGGAAACTAATGCCCATTTTAATTCACCCATTTTGTAGAAAACACAATTTAAATCCCCGAGAGCCTTTGCCTCAGAATCATTAATGTTTTGGGGACTTAACCTTCACAGTTTTGTGTACAGAACTTCGAAATTCAGGAAGCAGATGATAGCACCATCGTGGTCTTCACGGGACCGAAATACACAATTTTTTTTCCGGACTGATAAGGGGGTAGAGCGCCCTCTATTGAGCCGTGATAGACCCACAGGAATATTGTTCTTTAGTGAGCGACGGTTAATTTCTTTCTGGGAAATTCCTCAGAGCACGGTTAAAGAGTCTATAATCTTACCTGTTTGACCCACAGTCCGGTCTTCATGACTTGATTTCTCTCGTCCTGAAAATAAAAAATAAAACGAGACGTCTTCAGTCAGTAATAGGGCGAGTTAAATGTCGTTAGACATTAGTTTGAACATGAAGCTTAGGTGATGCTTGACCATGGGTGAGTACCAGGTAGTCCCCCTTTTTACAAGGCCTACTGGCCACACTTTTTATGACAAGATGGTACTTTCAGGTGAATTGATTTGTTTCAATTGAAACACAGTTTCCCATGGTTCTCAAACGGGACGACCATTTTCATCCAAAAGTTAAACAGAATCCTAGTGGTTTGTTTCTCAGTATTACACTGGATTTAGTGCTTCGGCTAAGATAAATATACAAAAAAATTAAGGGAAGGAGCCGTTCCATCTGTAAAGAATTCAATGTTTTGACAAGGGTTCTTTCAAAAATAATGAATTTTGCGCATAATGAAGAAAAGAATTTAAAAAAAAAATGTGTGCAATAGAAATGGCACAACATAATAAACGACAAAAAGTGATGGGTAAAGGAAACAATATAAGTCGCACAGAGATTTAGAGATTAAATTATAATAAGCATAAGAATCAACCTTAGAATTTAGGAGCAAATTTAAGAAGAAAACGGGAAAATTTAGATAATGTAAGGACAAAAGCAACCGAAGCCAAACAAATGACCCCCTTAAGCATGTCCTCTGATAGAAGCATGCAAAAAAAAAAAACAGCACAGGCATGAAAATAATCAGAAAAAGGGGTGAAGATACGTGCGGCAGATAGCGCGAACATCAATCCACACTTCGGCTAATTTCGAGGCGAGAATCACGTCTTCAAAACCAACCCTGACTGCCAGGGATTAGCGTCCGTCATCTATGCCGATGTTTCTCGGGCCCTCCTCCCCGGTACGAGCAGCTAGGAGACGCCGCGCTGTCTCCACCGTCAATTCAGACCGGGCCATCTCGGTTTACCAAGTGTCCACACAATTTCAGTGAAAGACGAACGGGAAACAGGGATAGTTGTGTGTGTGTGTTGTGTCACGACCGTCAGCAGAGAGATGATGACGAGGAGAAAAGACGCCGGCTTCCCTGGTTCCTCGAGGGATGCTAAGTGATGCTGAAGGGGAATAAGCTCAGTTTCCGTAAAGTCAATTATTGGTGTGGTTTCAAGAAAAGTGGAATCAGAAAGAAAATACGGGGTTAAGGGCGCTTGAAACGATGACGTCACATCTCGAGCACTGACAGAAGAAGCCTTGATACCCTGCGGGATGTCAAATGATGCTCATGGGCAAATAGCTTTATTTTCCTTGTGAGTCAATTTCAGTGATTGGATAAACGACGATACAGACAGAAAATCAGACGGTAAGGGCCCTAGAGTTGACGGCGTCACAGTTTGGGTCCAGCACAGAGGAACCATGCACTGGTTCCTTCAGGGGTGCAAAATGATACCTGTAGTTTCAATTGTTCGTGATTTTTAGCGTTGAAGAAATGTTGAAGAAATGCACATGCAGAAATTAAATTCCGATGTTAAGGTCTGCATAATCAATGTCCTCAGATTTTGGGTGTGGTTCCGTACAGGGTGCAAATTAAAGGATCCCCTTGGGAAAGGCCCATTTCCGTTGTTGGTTAATATCAGTGATATTATGAAGAAATGACCATACAAAAAGAAAAACTGATGTTAAGGGCTCTTGAAACGAAGACGTCAGAATCGGGTTGGGCGAGGTCAAGATGGATTTCTCCTAAAAGTGCGTCATGTGCCCGTAGGTGCTTGCGGGCATCGTAAGCAAGACACGGGGATGGTTACGCACGAGGGTTGAGGCAAATCGCAAAGACTATAGAGAAATTCGGTTTTTTTTGTGTTTAAAGTCCAGAACTTCCAACACACAATTTCCATCAAAGATCAAAAAGTTTGCTATCCAATTTGCAACACAGACAATTTGAGAACAGCCCGCATCATTTGGCATTGACTGACAAGCCAAACCTCGGCACTGCTGATTCTACAATGCAGAGAATGCCATGCCGGCCCATAACGAGGCGATGTGCCGGTTCCCAGCGGTCGACCAGCGAGCCAGATGGATGTTTGCCAGAGCCCATTGGCGGCAAAACCTATCGAGTAGATGGTGTCAATAAAGAGGGGGGATTAACCAATAATAAAGAAAGAAACACATGACGATGACGACAGAATCGCCAGCCCGCGTTTCGGACCGTCAACTCCCGCCGTGTATGAGCAGACGCTCCCATGCGCAAATAGTGTGACGTAACTGCGTAACCCGCTCCCACCATTGGTCCGTTGCGCGCGTAAAAAAGCGCGCCCAGCTTGTTCATGCGCGCACTCGATGGCTGGAAGCTGGACACACACAGCTCAAACGCGGCGGAGAAGGTGTTGAGATATCACTGTCACTTCGGCTTGACCTCCGTGTTTGCTCTGCAAAGAGGTGAGTGCGTCTCTGCAAATACCGCCAGATGACTTAGTGTCACCTGACGACCGAGATACGGATGAGGGCAGGCATCTGTAAGGTGTCTGGCAAGAATGACAAGATGACACAGTGAGAAAGAAACAATCAACAGACATCCGGATTTGGCTTGATGGAGGCGAGTGGCGAGATGAAGTGACCAAAGTCAAACACTCTCGCCAGTATCACGATTGGAACCAACGAGATCGAGATCGGAAGTCGTTATACAAAGACGACTATGCAGCCATTGATGAAAAAAAAACATCTTTTGAAAATGTCCTTTGTATTTTTTTCAAGTACTGACAAACTAGTCTCATTGGATAGCTTTTGCAACGAATGTGTACGCAACTGATCCTCTCAAAGGCAAAAAGTTATCTTGATAATTGAGAATCGTTTGGAACTGCGGATCCGTCCATCTATGATATTTATATGTCCACACTCAGCAGGATGTTGTATATGATAAAGGAACAAATATAAACCTACATGAAGTCTTTTAATACATAATATAACATTCCTAATAGGGGTTTCTAAACTCCATTTGGTGGGATCCGGTCTGAAGCAAAAACAAACACTTTGAAGACATTCTTACCAAACTGTCTTGCTGAAAGGTAATTCAGATTGCTGTGGCACATCTAATACAACACATATACGAGATCCTCTAGACGTCCGTTTGCAAAGGTTTTGAGTTTTGTGAATGATGAACCGATACAGACTGTAACTTTAACTCAAGGAACGGACACTTAAATGAGGAATTCACCAGGTGACATTTGCAACTGATGGTGGCTCTGAAGGGACATCGCAAATCGTGAATATTGACGTCAATATGCACAATTTGCGATGTCCCTTCAGGGCCACCATAGCAACTCAACTTTGACTGTTAATCTTCTATTCTCTGCGTGAGTTAAAGACCAATGCGAGCACGCTATCAAATATATCCCGGAGGCCCCCTTCAATGGCGAAAGCATTGTGCTAGCTATTGTTCGGACAATTCGTCAGGGGGCAAATGCTTGGTACAATAGCATGCACAATAGTTTCTCCATTGATGGGGGCCTTGTGAGTGTACAGTCATCATGTGCCCGGATCCGTCTATACCAAACAGTAAAAAAACTGCTCTAACGCTGTGAGGGACAAACGTTCTATAGAGAATGAAATCCGAGCCGTTAAAGTAAAAGGAAAAAAAGACAACGTAGGCCGGGTTGAGAGTCTGGCGTTAATCCTTCAAAATGTCAGAGGTCAGACTTAATTATAAGCACAGCTGATAGGTTTCCATAATGAGCACGCCCTGGTCACCCAATGACATTGTCTCGTTATAGCGCGTGAGCGCCCCAGTCAGCAGCAGGCATTCTCCGTAAAGGTCATGTCGTCTTGTCATACCAGTTGTCTATGTTATGGCATGTCTATGAGTAATACAACATTTATATATGACTCGTATACACGCAGTATACAAGAAGCGAACATAAAAATAGGGTGGATAGTTTCTGCTCGGCACGCCGCGGATTCCCAATTGGCGCAGCGTGGGTAACCAAGAACGCATGCTGGTACAGCAGGATAGGTCATTTTATCACAACTGATCATGCGTGGTTCCCTGAAACGCATGGGTTCTCTCAAAACAAAAATCAAGCGCTTAATGAGTGTTGAAAACAAGTATAAACATAGCGAGCCTGTATCGTTAAATATTTGCGATATGCGTACTTTTGTCATAACTGCTTGCATGATAAAATATTTAGAGGTTAAAGAAACACGTTTGAAGAAGGCACTTCAGTGCAACTTTTAAGGTGATTCCGTTCGCAATGAAAAATACTTAGTATTCTATGCGTTAAACTAAAGTGATTAACAAATTCGTCTATCCTTCCCAGTAAGATGATAGAAACAGCTTGTGGTCATAAATACCAGGGGATATGCGGAAATTGAAGAGATGTCTTGGCGTTACATGTTCCAAGTATCAGCGAATGCATTTAGCCGATGGATTGCCTAAAGACATCGTTACATTTCCAACCATTTATAGTTGCAAATGCTTTGCTAAAAACCAGCCAGTAGTTTTTTTTCTAAGCTGTTTGACTCCACAGGACCCGCGTGAGTTGCATCTCGACCCTCCCACGGTGCGCCGAGCAGGCAGGATCACCATTAACGAGTAATACCCAATGGTCGGTGTTTCTCGCCTCTGTCGGCTTCAGGCAAATGGCTAATTCTCGGGATACGATTTGACACCGTAAAGGTTAAGAAGTACCGGGAAAGGCAGGGGAAAAGAGGGCTATTAGCCGGGCAGTCTGGTTGTATTCACACGGGAAAAGGGAAAAGACCGGCATTGCCATAAACCAATCTCTGTTTGTCGTGGGGATTGTGATAGGATCTCTGTGTTTCTTATGGCAACGCTTGTGAGAGCTTTACTGTGCAGGTCATCTGTTTCCACTTGTAAATGATGAATGTGCAGTTTCATTCTGCCAAAGTACCTCTCTAAAACGATTTGCTTTAATTTTACATCCATACTCAATTACAAAATTACAAGTGTAATATGGAATGTGTACTTCGTGCTTAATTTCTTATATGAATGCGGCACCCTGACATAAAGTTTTCTTGTAAAATCAACATTCCTGACAG